ACGCCGTTCAAGTACAATAAAATTAATTGAATTATTGGATGTTTATCAGTTAAAACAACTCATTAAGAAACCTACACGTGTAACAGCTAAAACAAGAACATTGCGGATAGATGTTATTATAACTCAATTGGGAAATACGAATGTTACTGCTTCTGGAGTCATACACCTTGGAATTAGCGACCATAGTCTGGTGTATACTTGTCGCAAAATTAGTACCCAAAGGGAAAAACCAAAAATTGTTGAAACTAGGCAATTTAAACATTTTAACAGTCGAGCATTTGAAAATGACTTAAATCAAGCTTTTGCTGCTAATGATGTTTATCATCTTGATGACCTAAATGAGATTTTGAATGTATGGAAAACTATATTTCTATCTTTAGCTAATAAGCATGCACCTCTAAGACAAAGGAAAGTTAGAAGCACTTATAACCCTTGGATAACTACGGAGATTAAGTACCTTGGTCACCGCAGAGATTTCCTAAAAAAGAAAGCGGTCACGCATAACTCAATCTATTATTTTAATGAGTATAAACAATGTAGGAACAATTTGAATAAAACAATCATGGAAACCAAAAGCAATTATTATAAAAGTAAACTAAATGCATGCAAGGACCACAAAGAGAATTGGAAATTGATAAATGAATTGCTAAACAATGCATCAAAAACTACTATAATTAATGAATTGGTTGTTGACGAAGGAAAAATAGTAGGAGATGAGAATATTGCAGAAGAATTTAACAGCTTCTTCTCGCGCATAGGTACACGTTTAGCTAAAAATATAGACGCAAATGATGTTGATCCACTGTCTTTCGTAACATCTACACCACACAACTTCGATTTTCAAACTATATCCCATGATAAAGTTAGGGAGGAAATTAAGCAAATGAAAACTGCTAAATCATCGGGCTATGACAAAATTTCTGTGAAACTATTGCAGGCCGCTGGGGGTGCAATCGTTGTGCCACTAACGTATATATTTAACCAATCTCTTAAGACTGGAATTTTTCCAGATGACTGGAAAATTGCTAAAGTAACACCTATCCACAAATCAGAAGAAAAAACCCTATGCGGTAATTATAGGCCGATTTCTGTCATTTCTATAGTTCCCAAAGTATTTGAGAAAGTTGTACATGAACAATTAATGAAATATTTGGAACACCACCAAATAATTTCCAAATTTCAGTCTGGATTTCGTGTAAATCATTCAACTGAAACATCATTACTACATGTAACTAATAGCTGGTTAGCAAACATGGACGCTGGTTTGATTAATGGTGTCCTATTTTTGGACCTTAAAAAGGCCTTTGACACGGTAAACCATAAGAATTCTATTATCCAAATTGGGATGTTATGGAATTCGTGGATTAGCACTGTCATGGTTTCAATCATATCTTAGTAACAGGAAACAAATTTGCAAAGTAAATAACTCGCTATCAACCTTCCAAAATATTACATGCGGCATCCCACAAGGATCTAACCTTGGGCCACTTCTGTTTACAATTTATATAAATGATCTGCCAAATAGTTTAGAAATAACTGAACCCGCCATGTTTGCTGATGATACAAGCTTAACTGCAACTGGGGAGTCTTCTTTTGAAATTGAATACAAATTGGGGGTGGAAATCCAAAACGTTAAGACTTGGTTAGATGCAAACAAATTAACATTAAATGAAGAAAAAACCGAGTATATGCTAATCGGCTCAGGAAAGCGCTTAAAACAGATCAGAAATGACCCTATTATTAAAATTAGAGATCATATAATTAAACGGGTTTACAAGAAAAAGGTCTTAGGCTTAGAAATAGACGATAAATTACAATGGACAAAACATGTTGAAAAACAAACTAAAAAGATTTCTTGTTCTATAGCCATGTTACGAAAAGTGAAGCCTTACGTACCTCAAGCAACACTACAGATGATGTATAAGTCATTTGTACTCCCCTATTTCAACTATTGTTCAACTATATGGTATGATGGTAATAAAATGCACGCCGAAAAAATGCTGAAATTGCAAAAGCGTGCAGCACGGATCATTACCAGTTCGGGCTTAGAAGAACGATCTTCTGAAATTTTTCAAATGCTCAAATGGACAAAAATACAATCAATACTGATGATATTTAATACAATCAATAATGATGACATTTAAAGCACTTAGGGGTATGGCTCCAGAATACTTAACACAGATGTTTCATGTCTCCGTTAACCAAACCTACCAACTACGAAATAATCATCAAAAGCTTTACCTACCAAAACCTAAGACGAATTTTTTAAAACGAAGCTTCTCCTATAGAGGAGCAGTTTCATGGAACCAAATGTTAATGGAAAAACTTCCAGTTACGGAAATACCTGAAACTTCCATCTGTTCCTTTAAAAAATTAATAGATGGCTTGTGTTTTTGAATTGGGAGGTCATCCTGCCAAACCATAACAAAGCATTATGCCTTGCCGGTGTAAATAGAGTATATTATGCATGATTGTTTGTTTTTTTTTTAGTTAATAATTTTAATATTCTTATAATAGTTTATAGTAAGTGTGCACGGCCCTTTGAAAAACAGGCTTCTGAAAGGCTACCGTGAATAAATAAGCTTAAATAATAATAATAATAATAATGGAAGCAAGTGGCGGGGGATTAGCTCAAATGGCAGAGCGCGCGCTTAGCATGCGCGAGGTAGCGGGATCAATGCCCGCATCCTCCATCAACATTTCTTATGCGACGATTTGTAAATTTTTGAAGCCCCTTCGAAAATCACAATAAAAAACAACGCAAATGAAATCTTTCAAATTCCACCGCAACTGTTCGATTCCCGCACGAGTTTGATCTGGTGTTCGTTGCTGTGCATCACGAACCTATAGAATAGTTTTAAAAATAAAAAATGGTCGACTATATCGTTATTCCAACAATTCGTTTAATATAAGAGGATTTATAAAATAGCTCAAATGGTAGAGCGCGCGCTTTGCATGCGCGAGGTAGCGGGATGGATGCCCGCATCCTCCATCAATTCCGTTATCGTAAAAAAATTTATTTCAAGACGCTAGCCTTATCAACTTATGTTGGTTTTCATGAGGGGCGACGTCAATTTATATACAAAGTATTTACAATAAAATACGTAGAAACAAAGAAAAACTATTTACAATTTATGCCGCGTATATTCAGCTTTTTATTTCGCGATATCATAATAGGTAGGAATCCCATCAAATACAGAAAAGTACTTCAAAGAAATTCCGCGGAATTTGTGCCTCGGAACGGAACTGATACTGCTTGATGAATTTTGCCACTGACAGGATCTTACATACGTACATACAAAACTTTATTTAAACCACGTTAGCCTCAACAACCGTTGGGATCGAGGCTGATTTCAATGTGGGTTGCCAAATTCCTTTTTCGGCATAGGTGTGCTAAATCAGTATCCCTATTTCCGAGATTGTATGCATTATGTCTTTCATTATTAAATTAAATTGAAATGCTTCTTTAAGATTGGTGTTTTTCGCCATGTAGCAATTATGACGGCGTGGTGACACTAATTTCTTGGAAATAGTGTGCTATACTTTATGTTAGGTTAATATATTGAAACACTGAACCGCACATATAACTGGACAGTAGATTATCACGTGACTTTTGATGTTGTTCAAGATGGCGTGGGATCGTAATAAGTAAACAGTATATATTCGCTTTATATTTGGAATACTGACTAAAGTTTGTACATATTTATAATTATATTAAATGGTTATTGTTATACACATCTTCGAATCCTGATCTAGGATATTCAATATGAAACATGGTCCTTCTTTGAGCCGGATTGAAATTTGATATTTTGAGAACACTTCAAGAAATACGAGCCAATTTACGAGTTATTTGAGAAAATTTACGAGTCCGTCGGGAGAATCTACGAGTCCATTGGGAGAATCTACGAACATATGAGATAATTAACGAGCTTCGAAAGAATTTACGAACGATTGAGTGAAATATTTACGAGATTTTGAGCGATATACGAGTCATATAAAGCGAACATCAAGAAATTGGGACATCTACGAGTATCTGAGTAAGTCTATACGATTATTTGAGCGAATTTACGAGAGTTTATTATACTTACAAGCATTTGGAATCATTATATACGAGCTTTAAAGACAAATAAACGAGAAATTGCGCCTTAGAACAATATACAGTAACTGTGAACCAAAGGGATTATTATAAGGTATTTATATACATTTTGAGAAGTTAGATAAAGAGTATACACGTATTCGAGAGTGTAACCATAGGCTGCCCAAAAATGCGTGTTGAAATTTTGCATCGAGTCTACTCAGTTTATTATTATGACAAGGTTGGCAAGACTTTTAACGGAAATTTATTACAACGTTTACTAGAGTATGAATATTTCGCAAATTACAAACAAAAACAATATAAAATCTACATCATTTCAAACACTGGTAATTTTACTACATTCTCTCAAAGTTTTAACTTCAAAAGTTCATTCTAAGGTTGTTAAAAAAGCGAATTATTTTTGTTTTTTTTGCAAAATTTTGTCAAAACTATGCTGGGGTCACGTACCCTGTGGTGATGTCATATTTTTTAAATCTTGAACAAGCGCTGATTTGCTGTTGTACTGAAATCGTGTACAACAGCAAATCAACGCTTGTTCAAGATTTAAAAAATATGACATCACCACAGGGTACGTGACCCCAGCATAGTTTTGACAAAATTTGGAAAAAAACCCGAAAATAATTCGCTTTTTTAACATCCTTAGAATGAACTTTTGAAGTTAAAACTTTGAGAGAATGTAGTAAAATTACCAGTGTTTGAAATGATGTAGATTTTATATTGTTTTTGTTTGTAATTTGCGAAATATTCATACTCTAGTAAACGTTGTAATAAATTTCTGTTAAAACTCTTGCCAACCTTGTCATAATAATAAACTGAGTAGACTCGATGCATGCCCGAGCGCCACGCGCGAAGGTAAAAATTTCAACACGCATTTTTGGGCAGCCTATGGTGTAACATTGTTATTATGAGTGAAGAAGCAACAAAGAAACGTAAGATTCGGGGTGGACATAGAACCTCAACTAAGAGAACAATAAATGCTTCATCAACAATTCTTGACGATTTTGATCCTTCAAATAAACAACTTACCGAGAAGTTATTACAACAAAAGATTACATTAAAGGAAAAACTAGACATTCTGCAAAATTTAGACAATGATATACTAGCTATTACTGAGGAGAAAGATATTGAAAAGGAGATTGAAGAAAGTGATCTTTTAAGAGAGAGAATACATGCTACAATTGTCAGAATTGATTCTGTAGTGAGCCCTATGAGCCTACCTCCATCACCAAGTCCAGAAGGAACTCAAGAAGAAGGGAATTCTCATAATTCTAGTATTATAAGTCATTCGTCGGCCAAGATAAAGCTACCAAAATTGAGTTTAAAGAAGTTTAAGGGAGATATTAAGGAGTGGACTCCATTTTGGGACAGTTATACTTCAGCTATTCATGACAATCCTGACCTAAGTGATATTGATAAATTTAACTATTTGAACTCGCTACTTGAATCAAAGGCAGCAGAAGCAATTGCTGGGTTAAAGATTACATCAGCAAACTATCAGGAAGCAGTTGACGTGTTAAACCAGAGATTTGGCGACAAGCAACAGATTATTAATTCACATATGGACAGCCTTCTTCAACTACCTGCAGTAACAAGCCTTCATGATGTTCAAAGTATTAGACAGCTTTACAACAAGGTTGAATCACATATCAGAGGTCTCAAGTCTTTGGGAGTAGAGACTGCGACATATGGTAATCTAATGATCTCAATATTGATGCAACGGCTGCCACCGGGTTTACGTATTATTGTAACAAAGAAGATGCAAGAGGATGAATGTTCTTTGGATAAACTTATGACAATCTTTCGACAGGAATTAGAGGCTAGAGAAAGAGCAAATCTGCAGTGTTTACCTTCATCAAAGTCCAGTTATCAACGAAATAAACCGGGAACAGCTGCTACTCTTTTCACGGGACTGCATGACACTACCTGTTCTTATTGTCAAGGAAAGCACTTATCTGCAAACTGCAAGACAGTGACCAATGTAGCTGCAAGGAGAGATATTCTGAAACGAAGTGGACGGTGTTTTGTATGTTTAAGGAAAAACCATATTAGTAGGGAATGCCAATCGAACATAAAATGTTTTAAATGTGGTAGACGACATCATGGAAGTCTGTGCATGGGCGGCCAACCCCGACAACAACACCCTAATTCTGACCCACCAACCAACCAGCAAGAACCTCGGCATCCACGTCAGCCCGCAACAGAGACAGAGAAAGGGGACGAAACCGGAATTGGTGGCAAGAACTTACCAGCACAACCGAACAGAGAAAGAGATCAACAACAACAACAACAGCAAGCTACTACAAGTCAAACCATGTATGTTGGCACAAGAACATCCATCTTGTTGCAGACAGCGAAGGTCAACATATACAAGCCCGGAATGCAGGAAAATAGAGTAAATGCTCGACTTATACTGGATAGTGGGAGCCAACGTTCTTTCGTGACAACCAGAGTGAAGAATCAATTAAACCTTGATGCAGAAGGAACAGAAAACCTCATGATTAAGACATTCGGAGGCGAAGCAGAGGAACTACAAACATGTGAATTTTTGCACTTCAACATTGAGACAGAATCTACTTATCCCGATCTTCCCCTCACAGCATTTGTAGTACCCACAATTTGTCAACCCCTCAGACACCAAACAACCCAAACGGCACAGGAAATTTACCATCATCTCGAAGGTCTTAATCTTGCAGATCTTAATACTGGCGAAGAAGAGTTAGAAGTTGATATTTTGGTGGGATCTGATCAATATTGGAATTTAATAACTGGAGCAGTTAGACGGGGAGATTCTGGACCCAACGCAATGAGAACAAAGGTCGGCTGGGTTCTATCTGGTCCTGTAACAGATCCTGTGAGTGAGAAAACCAGTGTTAACTTGGTGAACACGCATGTTCTGAAGTTTGCAACACAACCATTGACCCCTGATGCAACAGATATGACACAAGAATTACGAAGATTCTGGGAACTAGAATCATTAGGTGTTTTCCCCAATGACGAGTCAGTCTATGAGAAATTCACACAATCAATCAAGCTGAAAGATAAACGGTACGAAGTGGAATTGCCATGGAAGGAATCTCATCCTGTTCTTCCAGACAACTACCAACTGAGCGAAAAACGGTTGAAGCATCTACTAACACGATTGAGAAAGGATCCAGAGATACTGCAAGAGTATGACAATGTCATAAAGGAGCAACTAAAGGAAGGAATTGTGGAAGTGGTCGATGAGCAACACCCTGGAGAAATTGGTAAAGTCCATTACCTTCCGCACCACGCAGTAATACGAAGAGACAAATCCACAACGAAGATGAGAATTGTATATGATGCCTCGGCAAAGGACAATGGCCCATCTTTGAACGACTGTCTATATACAGGTCCTGCATTGGCACAGAACATACTTGATATTCTTCTTCGGTTCCGTTGTCACAAAGTCGCTCTTGTTGGGGACATTGAGAAGGCCTTTCTTATGCTGCAGATCCAAGAATCCGATCGAGATGTCCTACGTTTTTTATGGGTGGACGACATTAAAAATCCCAACCCAAAGATTACAACGCTACGGTTTACGAGAGTGGTATTTGGAGTGTCCTCAAGTCCTTTCCTCTTGAACGCAACAGTTAAGCACCATATGGAACAGTATCGAAACATTGACCCAGAATTTGTTGAAAAATTCCTTGAATCCATTTACGTTGACGATTTAAACGCAGGTGATGAAAACGATGATGAAGCGTTCCTGCTTTACAAGAAATCGAAGCTTCGACTCGCAGAAGGAGGATTTAACTTGAGAAAGTTCTTTTCGAACTCACCTACATTGATGAACCAAATAAATGAGAATGAAGTCCAATTGCTTGCAGACTGCAATGATGAACAAGATACCCTCCAAACCAGTGAAAGTATTAGTCAAGGTGAATCGAGATCAAGCCAAACATTGAGAATGGAACATGACCAGTCATACACAAGGGAGACAACTGGTAACTTGTCTGAACCAGTCGAGAAATGCGAACAAAAGATTTTAGGAGTTAAATGGAACTATCAAGAGGACTGTTTTGTGTTTGATTTGGGACCAATTGCTCAGGCAGCAAAGGAATGCGAACCAACGAAGAGGAATATCATCAGTATCGCATCGAAATTCTATGATCCTCTTGGATTTATCTCACCCATTATTGTGCAAATGAAGCTATTATTTCAGTCATTGTGTGACAGTGGAATTGAATGGGATGCACCCATAACCGAGGAACTGAAATCGAAGTGGTTAAAACTTGTTAATGATTTGCAAGAAACGAAACCAATGACACTGCCTAGATACTATTTTGTGCACATTAAGGAGAAGGTATTAGCTCGCCAACTTCACGGGTTCTGCGATGCCTCAATTTCAGCTTATGCAGCTGTGGTGTACCTTGTAGTTACGACCACAACGCGGAGATATGCAACATTTGTCACAGCGAAGACGAGAGTAGCACCGAGCCAGAAACAAACGATTCCAAGACTAGAACTCTTATCTGCAGTTATCCTTTCACGACTTATGAAGAATACCTATGAAGCACTCAAATCTGTTCTAGAACTGGATGAAAATGTTGTATGTTGGACAGATTCGTTGGTCAGCTTATATTGGATAAGAGGCGAAACGAAAGAATGGAAACAGTTTGTCCAGCTGAGAGTTAATGAAATTCGAAGCCTTATCTGTTCATCATCATGGCGACATTGCCCCGGCGTAGATAATCCAGCAGACATCCCAACTCGAAGCATTAAGTGTTCAGAACTCGGACAGTGTGAACTCTGGCGAAATGGACCCCCATGGCTGTCAGAAGAATTGCAACCTAACGACGAATTGATAGACGAGCCTTCACCTTCGGAAGAATGTTTACGAGAGCTTAAGAAGAAGCCACACCATTCACCAACTGCGCTGTTAACCGAAGCGACAGGTCAAGGTATAAAGGAATTAATGAACATTGCAACATTCTCGAATTACCATCGGCTTCTAAGAGTTACGGTGTATGTACTAAGATTTGTTCGAAAATTGAAGGCCAACGTGAAGAGAAGAGCTGATAAATCCCAAGAAAGGTTGAAGAATTCTTGGCTTGAAGAGATAAACGAAGCTGAAACGCTCTGGCTAAAGGAAATGCAAACATCACTTCCCGAACATTTGAAGTATCAAGATTGGAGACGGCAGTTTGGAATATTTGTCGACGAGAAAGGGATAACTAGATGCGGTGGAAGATTGGAAAATGCCAATATTCACGAGTCAGCGAAGCATCCTATCTTGCTCGATCCACGACATCAGCTAACACGTCTTATCGTAAGATATTGCCATGAAAGAGTGAAGCACTGCGGAACGAAGGCAACCTTGACTGAATTACGGTCGCGGTTTTGGATAGTTAGAGGCCGACAGTACATACGAAGCGTCATCTATCAATGCGTCGTCTGCCGAAAACAAGAAGGAGAACCCTACCGTGCGCCACCACCTCCTCCATTGCCAGAATGTCGCGTGAAAGAGGACTTTCCGTTCGCTAACACTGGCGTAGATTTCGCTGGACCGTTATATGTAAAGAATCCTGATTCGAAGGTATGGATCTCATTGTACACGTGTTGTGTGACTCGAGCGGTACACCTCGACCTGGTGCCTGATATGTCAACCGAAGCCTTTCTAAGAAATTTTCAGAGATTTTGCGCTAGAAGAGGAGTACCATCGCTGGTTATATCAGACAATGCAAAAACCTTCAAATCGGCTTCGCGAAAGCTTACGTCTCTATTTGAATGCCCAAGAATAATTAACCATTTCACCTCATCAAAGATCAAGTGGTCATTTATCCTCGAAAAGGCCCCTTGGTGGGGTGGATTCTACGAAAGAATGATCAAATCAGTGAAAAGATGTCTACGTAAAACACTAGGGAACGCGCGACTTACGTATGAAGAACTCCTTACGGAACTTGTCGAGATAGAAGCCATTCTGAATTCGAGACCACTAACATACACATCAACAGAAGATTGCGAAGAACCCGTTACACCATCACATCTCATGCATGGTCGAAGACTTCTTTCCTTGCCAACGCAAGACGAAGTGGAAGACAAAGATTGGGAACCAACGTCAACGGATATTGCAAAACGTGAAAGGCACTTGGCTTCTCTACTAGATCATTTCTGGAGAAGATGGAAAACCGAGTATTTATTGGAATTGAGAGAAGCGCATAGAGACAGAAAATCGGTACAATCGAATAAAGAATTGATAAAGATAAATGATATCGTAATCGTGCATGACGAAAACCGTTCTCGAAGTCTTTGGCGACTTGGCAGAGTGATGCACTTAGTTCGTGGTAATGATGGTAAGGTTCGTGGAGCTAAAGTGAAAGTCGCTGAGAGAGGCAAGAAACCAACAACGCTTCGACGTCCTATACAAAAGCTGTACCCAATTGAAATCGGTAATCAGGACATAACCCAACAGAAAGTAGACATGGACTCAACGACAATCCAACCACAGAAAGAAGAGTCTATAACTCAGAGACCTCGACGCGCAGCAGCAGTCAAGGCCACAGAGAAACGAAGAGAATTGATACGAAACGAACAGTTATAAACAGAAATTAGTTGATCACAACTCAGGTGATCAACGGGGGGAGTGTGCTATACTTTATGTTAGATTTACATATTGAAACACTGAACCGCACATATAACTGGACAGTAGATTATCACGTGACTTTTGATGTTGTTCAAGATGGCGTGGGATCGTAATAAGTAAACAGTTTATATTCGCTTTATATTTGGAATACTGACTAAAGTTTGTACATATTTATAATTATATTAAATGGTTATTGTTATACACATCTTCGAATCCTGATCTAGGATATTCAATATGAAACAAATAGGTAGGTCCCGGGCTAAGTGGACGCGTTGGGGGATTAGCTCAAGTGGTAGAGCGCGCGCTTCGCATGCGTGAGGTAGCGGGATCGATGCCCGCATCCTCCACAAATATTCATGTTATGTTGTATACATGGTTGTCCTGTCGTTTTCTTTCAGTCATGGCAGAAAAACATTGATGGAACTCAAAAAATTCTTTGGGTTTTTCCGATTCTTCCTCATCCACGCTTCTTCTTTACAACGACAACAAAAACATGTAAATGTCAACATCTACAAATACACAAAAATTAGAATACAATCTTATGGAAGCAAGTGGTGGGGGATTAGCTCAAATGGTAGAGCGCGCGCTTAGCATGCGCGAGGTAGCGGGATCAATGCCCGCATCCTCCATCAACATTTCTTATGCGACAATTTGTAAATTTTTGAAGCCCCTTCGAAAATCACAATACAAACAACACAAATGAAATCTGTGAATTCCACCGTAACTGTTCGATTCCCGCACGAGTTTGATCTGGTGTTCGCTGCTGTGCATCTCGAACCTATACAATAATTTTAAAAATAAAAAATAAAAAATAAAAAATAGTCGATTATATTGTTATTCCAGCAATTCGTTTAATATAAGAGGATTTATAAAATGCTGGATTCCAACAGGGGAAACAAGTCGACGGGGGATTAGCTCAAATGGTAGAGCGCGCGCTTTGCATGCGCGAGGTAGCGGGATCGATGCCCGCATCCTCCATCAACATTTCTTATGCGACAATTTGTAAATTTTTGAAGCCCCTTCGAAAATCACAATACAAACAACACAAATGAAATCTGTGAATTCCACCGTAACTGTTCGATTCCCGCACGAGTTTGATCTGGTGTTCGCTGCTGTGCATCTCGAACCTATACAATAATTTTAAAAATAAAAAATAAAAAATAAAAAATAGTCGATTATATTGTTATTCCAGCAATTCGTTTAATATAAGAGGATTTATAAAATGCTGGATTCCAACAGGGGAAACAAGTCGACGGGGGATTAGCTCAAATGGTAGAGCGCGCGCTTTGCATGCGCGAGGTAGCGGGATCGATGCCCGCATCCTCCATCAACATTTCTTATGCGACAATTTGTAAATTTTTGAAGCCCCTTCGAAAATCACAATACAAACAACACAAATGAAATCTGTGAATTCCACCGTAACTGTTCGATTCCCGCACGAGTTTGATCTGCATGGTGTTTGTTGCTGTGCATCTCGAACCTATACAATAATTTTAAAAATAAAAAGTGGTCGATTATATCTTTATAAAATACTGGACTCCAACCGGGGAAACAAACCGACGGGGTATTAGCTCAAATGGTAGAGCGCGCGCTTTGCATGTGCGAGGTAGCGGGATCGATGCTCGCATCCTCCATCAACTTCCGTTATCGTAAAAAAATTATTTCAAGATGCTAGCCTTATCAACATACCTTGGTTTTCATGAGGGGCGTCGTCAATCTATATACAGAGTATTTAGAGGAAAATACGTAGAAGCAAAGAAAAACTATTTGCAAATTATGCGGCGAATATACAGCTTTTTATTTTGCGATATCATAATAGGTAGGAATCCCATCAAATACAGAAAAGTATTCCAAAGAAATTCCGCGGAATTTGTGCCTTGGAACGGAAACTGATACTGCTTGATGAATTTTGCCACTGACAGCATCTTACATACATACATACAAAACTTTATTTAAACCACGCTAGCCTCAACAACCGTTGGGATCGAGGCTGATTTCAATGTGGGGCGTGAAATTACCTATTTACAAGAAGTTAACTATTTCTAAGAAATACAGAAATACGACAAGAAAATACAGGTGATTTTAACTGCACGATCTCATACACAAGCAAGTTTCCACTCATTCTTTGTTTTAATATCCATTTCAAAGAGCTTAAGGATTCAGCAATTTTGACTGACAGGATCTTACATACGTACATACAAAAGTTTATTTAAACCGCGCTAGCCTCAACAACCGTTGGGAGGCTGATTTCCATGAGGGGCGTGAAATTTCCTACTTACAAGAAGTTAACTATTTACAACAAATACGACAAGAAAATACAGGTGATTTTAACTGCACGATCATACACAAGCAAGTTTTGACTCATTCTTTGTTTTAATATCGATTTGAAAGAGATTAAGCATTCAACAATTTTTGAGTCGTGGGTAAGATTATTCCAATGCAAGGCACCGTTATAACTGAAGCACCTCTTGCCGAATTCCTTTTTCGGTATAGGTGTGCTAAACCAGTATCCCTATTTCTGAGATTGTATGTATTATGTCTTTCATTATTAATTAAATTAAATTGAAATGCTTCTTTAAGATTGGTATTTTTCGTCATGTAGCAATTATGACGGCGTGGCGACACTAATTTCTTGGAAATAGGTAGGTGCCGGGCTGTAGTGAACGTGTTGGGGGATTAGCTCAAGTGGTAGAGCGCGCGCTTCGCATGCGTGAGGTAGCGGGATCGATGCCCGCATCCTCCACAAATATTCATGTTATGTTGTATACATGGTTGTCCTGTCGTTTTCTTTCGATCATGGCAGAAAAACATTGATCGAACTCAGAAAATTCTTCGGGTTTTTCCAATTCTTCCTCATCCACGCTTAACAACTACAAATTGACAAAAAATAGAATACAATCTTATGGAAGCAAGTGGCGGGGGATTAGCTCAAATGGTAGAGCGCGCGCTTAGCATGCGCGAGGTAGCGGGATCAATGCCCGCATCCTCCATCAACATTTCTTATGCGACGATTTGTAAATTTTTGAAGCCCCTTCGAAAATCACAATACAAACAACGCAAATGAAATCTGTCAAATTCCACCGCAACTGTTCGATTCCCGCACGAGTTTGATCTGGTGTTCGTTGCTGTGCATCACGAACCTATAGAATAGTTTTAAAAATAAAAAATGGTCGACTATATCGTTATTCCAACAATTCGTTTAATATAAGAGGATTTATAAAATACTGGATTCCAACTGGGGAAACAAGCCGACGGGGGATTAGCTCAAATGGTAGAGCGCGCGCTTTGCATGCGCGAGGTAGCGGGATCGATGCCCGCATCCTCCATCAACTTCCGTTATCGTAAAAAAATTTATTTCTAGACGCTAGCCTTATCAACTTATGTTGGTTTTCACGAAGGGCGTCGTCAATTTATATACAAAGTATTTACAATAAAATACGTAGCAACAAAGTAAAATTACCTACAATTTATGCCGCGTATATTCAGCTTTTTATTTTGCGATATCATAATATAGGTAGGAATCCCATCAAATACAGAAAAGTACTTCAAAGAAATTCCGCGGAATTTGTGCCTCGGAACGGAAACTGATACGGCATGTTGTAAAAGACGGACTGGACTGGACCGGACTGGACTGGACTGGACCGGGAAAACGCGGACTGAGTCCGTGTTTTACAAATCGCGGACTGAATTTGTAAAACACGGACTGGACTGGACTGGACCGGACCGAGAAAACACGGACTGAGTCCGTGTTTTACAAATCACGAACTAAGATTTGTAAAACGCGGACTGAGTCCGTGTTTTACAAACCGCGGGCTGCAATTTGTAAAAGGCGGACTCATTTCCTGACAAACATCGATGTGACTCAGTCGTAAAGGTTTTGGCGGGAATTGCACTCAGTCGTGAGAGTTTTGGCGGGAATTGCGGATAATAGGTCGGTCAAGGAATAATCATATCCTGGACCTAAGGTTGGTAGAAATTACTATTATTTATTTATTGTTTTGAATAAACTGATGAACAGCGTTCAATCTTAGGAGCACGCTCTATCGTGTGTGATTTTGTGCCACTATTGTCGAGGAAACTCGTGCGTATAATATCAAATGTGGCCGTTTCATGTAAATATAGTTGTATGCCGACTGCATAGATATAGCTAGGGGCGATAACCCCCCCCCCCCAATACGAATCATGTGGATTGGCAGGGCAATCAAAGATTTTAAATGATAGAATGTAGAGTTAAGTAATTTACAGGGCTTTCAGAGGGAATTTATAGAATTTATATTTGGGTCCAAAAATAAGGGTTTAAGCCATGTTTTAACAGGAATTGGCAGACACCCCCCGAATTAAAAGGGGCTAGTTTCGCCCCTGGGTCAGTATAGCTCTTATAGCAGATACCATTTAGTATTATTCATAATTAGCCTTAAACTGATAGAGTTAATTTGTTTATTTTGTGTTCGTGGCGAAGAGAGTGTATTGCACCCGTTTTCAAAATTACGCGACCAAGGTCGAAAATGCTAGAGTTGACATGTCAGTTTTATGTCATTCGGTCACGAAGTTTAAACTTTGAGTTTTCCCGTTCCTTGTCGATGTATATGCTTATTATGCTTTATATAAATAGGCTTACAATGATTTTCAAGATATTTTAGTGCGAATTATTGCAAAATTTAAGCACAAACAAAATCATATAAACATCGCCGTTATAGTCTACCGCGCCTATTTTAACTGACAGCTAAATTCCAGGATAAATTGTTAGTTTTCAAACTTTAAAAGTTATTCACGACATATATATTTTTGTTGTGATGGTTTGTATTGTGCTTTAGTTTGTATATCTAAGTTATCTAACTCATTTTTGTTCAGTTTTGGTATTAAATACGGTTTAAAATGTCTTTTGACAGTTTGTTTACGTTTGCTATTTTTAGCAGTTTTCGTGACATAAAACTGACATTTGAAAGGGAAAGTACAAA